GATTACTTTCCATCTTGTAAGAGTCCATAGGTCTTTACAGACAATCTCCCCTTTGCTAATGGAGGCCCTCCCTTTCTTTCTACTCAGTGACTACCCTAGTTCCATGTATGTTGAAAGTGCTTCTTGTCCCTACCAGGCCATCATCATCTTGCTTAAGAGCTCTGGAACAGTCATTCTAATGGCATCTTTAGATGGCCTTGTGGATTTTCTTTGTGAAAATGTATATTTTATTTATGTTTTAGTATATAAACTGTTCAATTTTAGAAAAGGATGGCTCATTGTTTAAGTTCTTTGATCTTTTCCATAGCCCCTGTTACTTAGTTAGACATCTGTGCTTCCTAGGAAACCAGTGCTATGTCTACTGATGCTTTTAAAAATCTACTTCTCCATGATAACCCAGCCCAGCTTGTGTCACTGAGATAGTAGGTAATATGTACTGAATAGTAACATATTCACAGGGACATGGCTTGCCCTTTGGAAAGTGTGTTCTGAAGTCTCAGCCAGAAGCATCCTCAGGAAGGAGCTGAAGCTCCCAGGAACCCAAGCCCTGACTCTGAGCCAGTATAAGGCTGGGCAAACAGGTTTCAAGTTTGACAGCCTGCACTTTAAGCATTGGCTTCCCCATTTGCTTGCTAAGTGTTCAAAGAACATATACTTACCTTTTCTTCGCCCAATTTTCTCATATCTTAAAAAAATGAACACTATAGTTCCTGCCTAATATATGGGGTTATGAACAGGTTCATGTGATGGTCTTAGCAAAGCACATGTAGATAAGGCTTAGCGCACTGTGATGTTGCTCTCACCCTACGCTCTGTGGCAGGGCCAAGCACTGCCCTTCATAAACCTGGAGCTCTTTGCCACTTATCCCAATTTTTTCCATGCTTCATGTGTTGGATGAAAGACCTTTTGAATTTATTTCTAGTTGGCTCTTGCTGAGTGTTAATTGATATAACTAAGTGATGACTGATAAAGTCTTAGTTATGGCTTGTCATAACAATATTACCCCCTTCTAGAAGTTTCCACAACAGCAATAAAAACCTACCTAAGGGCCTTTCCAAGAAAGGCTACAGAATGGAAAGATGGGCCTTTTCTGTTTGCTCACGGCTGTGTTCATTCTCTTGTCCCCTACAGTGTGTGAGGCTCTAGCCAGGCTTCCTACAGACAGCCCCATTCTCCAGGACCCATAAAATCAAACTACTCAGGAGACCTTGGGGATTATTTAGCCCTTCCTTATTTATAACTAAGGAAACTGATGCCAGAGCAAATATCAGAACTCATGATCCCTGACACTCAGACCAACATCCACTCTAAAATCTTACTGGCCACATCTGGAATGTGTGGGGGTCTCAGAAACTTAGCCTTTCCATGAAAACAAGAAGCAGCAGCACACAAGACATCAGTGCTAGTCTATACTTATTAAACTACCTTTCTAAATCACAATCTAATAAGAATGCTTCAAGCTAAATAAAAGAATCCTGGAATACTCTTTTTCACTGGAGAATATAATTTTGCTTCAGCCACAATTTAAATTGATTTAGTTGTGAGCACAGCGTCTGAAGTGTGGAGCGCATTCTGTTTTCACCATGATACTTGTTTTGACAGTGATGCATTTCAGTTGACATAGCTGAAATCCTCATGTAATAAATCTCTGCCTGAAAATTAATCATGTTTATAATATTCTGAGAATTAATAACACCCATTGCTCAAATCATTAACTTAAAAAAGGAGCTTCCAAAATCTGTTCTCGGCAGTAAGGGACCACAAATAAATGAATGTTTGATAAAATAATCCAAGTAGCAGTTTAACAAGCGTAAACTGGAATGTGGCTGCAATAACACAGAACTATTGTTTAAGGGTTGGCAGAGGCTGATGAGGTTCTTATTCCAGTTATGAAGCAGGCATCCACATGCATAATGAACTGCTCTCTGAATTATTAATGTGTTGCTTATTTAGCCTCATCTGTCTAGAAGATAATGTATCCTAACTCTAATGAGTGATCGGTTTTGTACATAATTACAGTAGCAGCAGTAGTGGGGAAATGTGTGCCTTCAACGAAGGAGTTCTAAAAATAAAGTCATCACATAAACTCTGATGTGGTTGCATTCTATCAAAATCAAACCCGAAGCATTTGAGAATTCATAATAAATTACAGGAGACAGAGTCATTATTAACATCATAATTTAACACAAAAGGTTTTACTTAATCATTCATTACAGATCGTATCTGTTCAAACGTGTATAAATGAGTTGGGTTGTTTTAAGACGTTAGCAAAGGCGACTGTTTTATGGTGGCTCAGCAACTGTGGTTTAGAAGGTCTGGGAAGGGAGGGGAAAAGTGAAGGTTGACAGAACAAGGTGATTATTTATGCCAACTTTGGAGTTAACTAAAAGTTTAAAAAAGAATCCTTTTGTGTATATGTGTACATATGTACACGTGTGCACATGTGTGTAGAGGCAGAGGGTGACACTGAATGTCTTCTTCAATCACTCGCTGTCTTATTTTTTTTTTTTTTTGAGACAGGGTTTGTTTCTCACTGAACCAAAGCTTACTGATTTATCTAGGCAGCGCTGTACCCAGATTCTTACATGGGAACTTGGGATTGAACTCAGGTCTTGATGCTTGTGCAACAAGCACTGTGCTTACTAACTCAGCACCCCAGTCCTTTTTATTTCTAAAATGTGCATATCTGGGATTTCTCAGACTTTGTTTTTATGCCTTCAAATGTATTTAGTTGGTTGGTTTGCTGGCTGTAAAAGAGTCTGGATCAGGTCTACTCATCTGATGCAAAGGGTTCCAAACGGTCCTGACACTTGTTGCTGACAGTGGTCACCACTGAGCTCCCTGAGAGTCTAGAAAGGGGTCTTTGCTCATTTGTTGTTTGCTTTTCTTGTCTTAGCACAGCACATTATTAAAGGGATATAAGCAAACTTCCCAGTTATCAGTTCTGAATGTGCTGTCATTATCCTAGAAGCTATCCCTTTATAGTGGCCACCTTGTATTTCCTGCTTCCTTCTTCAAAACAGGGCTGACTGTGAACCTATCACAGTGTGTTCATACTTGCTTGGGAAGTTTCAGATTGGCTGAAAATTGTACTGTGTACACATGTACATGATTCTTTTTAAAGACCCTATTGCATATATGAATATGTGTGGGGCCTGCACACACACACACACACACAGACACACACAGACACACACAGACACACACACACACACACACACACACACACACACACACACAGTGATTCAGCCTGGAAGAATCTATTGCGCTCTGAAACCTAAAGCACTTTAAGTTTATTCTCACACCAGAAACCCTGAATAGCTTTTCTGCCATAATTCTAGAAACATGTGATTTCTTGGGAGTTTCCTTTTTTGTGTAGGCAGTTCCTAAAAGAATACAATAGTCCTCATGGAATTCTCCTTCTTGGCCTGTAGCTAGGAATGACACCTAGAGGCAAGCGGGGGAAATGGAAGAACATTGCCGATTTGAGGTACAACTACTGCTTATGGTCCCCAAAGCTACAGGCCTCTGCAGCAGTAGATTGTCTTTGGATGATTGTGCTGCTACTAACTCAGTTCTAGCTTCATAGTGGCACGGAGCTTTACTGTGTCTTTTCATCCAGCACCAGACCAACAGTTCCACAGATCCTTTTGGTGAAAATGGACACCTCAAGTGGAGGCGATTTCCTCATATCCAGTTCGGCTTCTCAGAAAGCAAAAAGTGAGGTGATTCCTCAGAGCAAGGTCCTAGCTGGCACCTCACAGGAGAACTGGGTTGAAGGGGTAAGGAAGAAGCCGCATGAGCACTCAAGACATCAAGAACCTCTCTAGGATGGTGGAGGTATAGGGCAGAGTCAAACAGGCTCCGTTAAACCTAGAGGCATCTAGTTCTGAAGATGTTCAGCAGAAAGGTAGAAGATGTTCCAAAAAGGTTCTGAGACAGAACCTTTAATTAAATAGCTATGGGTTGTAGACCAGGCTGGCCTTGAATTCACAGAGATTCTCTTGCCTCTGCCTCCCGAGTGCTAGAATTAAAGGTGTGTGCCACCATTCCCAGCTGGAATTCTTTATCTATTTAATATATTGGGATGTCAGGTGGAGCTTCAATTTCAAGGACAAAAAGCCACTGTTGGAAAAGGCAGAAGAAATCTTTAGCAGCAGTAAGGACAACTGGATGGATGCAGAGCCTCAAATACACTCTTATTCCAAGGACCACCTTGCCCTGTTGACCTTTGTTCTTTTTCTCTGTGACCTGATTAGCTAGCTCCACAAGCACCCCCTCTTCCCATGGAGACCTTTTTATACCCATGGATGCTACAGTTGGTAAACCTCATTAGCAGCCGGTTTCAGGCCTGTCATCCTACTGATGACAAAGGAGACTATGTAGTTTTTAGGCCAAGGGGAAAGAAGGGAGACAGGAAATCTTAAGGGAATTGCTACCATGCTAGTGTGAGATGGTGGGGCAGAGTCCAACGTGGCATCTTCATGGAAGTAGGGTACTGGTAAGATCTGAGGCATTTTAGCAGCTAGAAGTATTGCAGCCTGGTTGTGGCAGGGAATGGGGCTAAGGTAAGTCTTGCCCACCTCTGGCCTCATCCCCCTAGAGGATGTAGGGGGAAGAGACTATACAATTTAAATAACTTCACCTGAAGACTCAGAGCAGCCAGGTCTAGAAGGTTTTGGGTCTGGGAGTCTAAGCTCAAAATGGAAGCGAGGGCTAGAAAAACAGGGATGAAGGCTGTCAAAAATAGCTGCTTGCTGATGGACTGTGGAGAGAGCTGGGGAGAACTGGGAGGTACCCAACGGAAGGCCCGTGCCTCTGGACTTTTATACCTTGCTTCCTCTTCTTGGGTGGCCTCCCCCTTTTTATGGCAGAGACTGTCTCATTTATGAACCTTGTTTTGAAATGGCTCAGTGACCTCTCTGATTCTTGATTCTCTTTTTGCTCACTTAGCAGTTGAGTATTGCCGAATGCCAGACCAACCAGAAAGAGTTGCTTACCAGCTCTGCCTGGATGCTAAGGCGCTTTTTCTTCCTTTCTGTATCTTGATCAAAGCGGGGCACTTCCAGGGTGCTCAGACCACAATCCAGATGGCCATTTGTCAAGAACAGGGTGAGCTGAGTCATGGCTAGCTGATCACTGTATGAGAGGTTGAGGCCTGTTGTCCATACCTGGTTAAAACATGAGCCAGGGAAGTGAGGGTATGATGAGACAGGAGAAGAAAGAGAGCCATACCAGTCCTAACTAGACCAAACCAGTGGCCAAGGAGATTCTTGGAGTAGAGATGTCTGTATTTCTGTTTCTGCATCACACAGCTGAGGGATGGGGCTTGTTTCTCAGAACATTCATGATGATATAGGGAGTTTAAAACTGGCAATACCTGGGCCAAAACAATCTAACAGAGATCTTGGTGATGTTTTTTGCTTGTGGTTTGTTATTTCAGAGGTGGACAGTGCAATGTTCTCTACTGTGATTGGATAAAAGCTAAAGAGGGTGGTAACTAAAGGAAATACTGAACATCTACCAAGTGTTTAACTAGCAGTGACCAAAGTAGGTCAGGAGCCACCTCCTCCTTCTCCTTTAAGTTTGTCATTTCAAATTCCCATGTGATCCCCAGTCCAACTTAGCTGAATGCTCAAGGCAGAGCCTGCAAGTCACTAGAGTCAGAGATAGAGGCTATAAGTCATGCCATCAAGATAACTGATCCACATATGTCTAGTGAATCACAGCACAGTGTAATGTGTGCTATAGCAATGAATATGGAAGTAGAAAGGACAGACTGGGTTTGCTTGGTGGAATCAAAGCTGCCTATGAAGGTGACATTTGAGCCTTAAACTAGTAATCCAGCCATGGTTTGCATGGACTAAGTACATATGCTATGCTAGGTACTTCACAGGTTTCTCTGATCCTTCTAGTTGTTTTTAAAACTGCAACACATACTCAGATAAAGAAACGGATCCAGGAGGTCCTTAAGTCCACATAGGAAGGAAGGGTTAGCACTCAGATTTTAGTCTTATCTGTCTGGCTCCAAACCCACTCTCTTCCCGTGCACCTTCAAAGGAGATGCCATTGATGCTGTACCAATCCTCCAAATTAAACATCAAAGTTGCAGAGGATCAGAACATGTTCTTGTTTAATACAGCCTATGCCATGGAAGTGTCTTGTGGAGAAAACATAAAATATTATATTTCTGCAGCATGCTGTAATTAGCAGTAATGCATTTTCACTGTAGGAAGTTGGAAACGAACATATTTTCATGAAGATTTGATTAAATATTTTTTCCTCTTAGAGGGCCTACAAGTGCCCCACTCACCAACTCTGTATGTTAAAATACATAATACATCTGCCCTAGAGTGGACTCCTCTCGAACAAATCTAGCAGTGAGTGACTTGAGTAAGCATTGAATGTAAATGGCATCATTATAAGAATATTAAGGGGTCAAGCTGTCAAGGCCCCTTGCTAAACTGATGCTAATTTCAGGATCATATTCACACAGTAATCCTCTTTCATAACAGCAAATAAATCACATTTGCAACAATTGTTAAAAACTAACTGCCAAGTATCTGCTGCAGTTGTAAATATCCTATTTGTCAACTTAAATATTTACCGCTATATGGCAGTACATGTAAATCAGATGGGGACAGCTCCTGTTCCTCTGAGGAGGAAGTGAACTTTCTCTTCTTACACATCCTTCTCCGGAGTTTCTCTTTTCATGCTTTGGTGCTCTTGGTCAAAGGCAGATGTATATACAAAAGATTGCTGATATTTATATTAATGATATTAATGTTTTGGTGGTAAGGCTTTTGGTAAGAAGGCAGCATTGGCTAGGGAAAAACAGAACCAAGGAGTGGGAGCACTGTATGTGTCCTCACAAGCAGCATACGTTTAGACTAATACTGATGCTCTCTCCACCAGTGTCCTCAAGTGTCAAGGAGCAAACAGTAATACCTCCCACATGGGGCTTATACACACATAAAATTGCCATATAAAGTTGAATACAAATGTTACTTACAATTATTAAGCATTCCCTTTAAGAGGACAGACTCCTCACTAAGCACAGTGGTGGAGCCCAAAATCTTAGCACTCAGAAGGCTGAATCAAATGGAATCACAAGTTCAAAGCCAGCCTGGACTAATGGTGGGAAATGCTGTATTTTAAAAAGTTAGATTCTTAGGTGGCACATTTTATGTGACTCTCAGATAGTACCATCTCCTAACAAGTTTGCCCCATACTGTCAGGTTTGGGGCAATGGTGCTGCTACTCTAGCTCCATTTTACTAGGGATACTGAGAGCAAAGTCTGTTTCCTGCTTGCCTGAGATGATAGAGCATGGGCCAGAGCTCTGAATTTTCTAGAGGTCGGTATTTTTGCTTCTTGCTTCCCCAGGCTGCCCTAACTCCTTGGTTCACTAAGGAGATAGAATACATTTCCTTAAGCCTTTTACTCAACAGCAGGCTTGCCTGATTTGCTCAGATAATTGTTCGCGTTCTCCATCTGGTTTTCCCTGCTGAAAACATTGCCCAAGGCATGCTTGTTTGTGTACAGGGGTTCCAATATTTCCCTCTAGATTGTCAGCCCTTTAGGGGAAGCTGCTAAGACTTTGTCTTCCTACAGTCCCCAGTGTGTGGAGTACGGTTAGTGAAGCAGGGTACATCTACTATTCTAGTCCCATACTGTGAATGCCTCTGGAGCCATTCAGTAGCAGGCACGTGGGGGCCCCTTAGGACTGAGTCCAGATTCAAACCAAGCAAATATTTCTCTGCACCTCCTTGGTTCTTGTCCCATGTTCTCACTGCTCTTACTTAATCCTATTTTTAAATTTAAATTTCAGTGTTAACTTCAAAAATTTACAGATCCTTGCAGTGGATACTCCTGTCACAAGCAGGCCATGGCAGTGGCCTACACAAAAGCACTGTGAGAAGGGATAAGGACAGTGTGTAAATGGTAACTTTGATATGACCTACTATGATGGCTTGTAATGATTGGCTTGCTGGATTCATTGATTAGATTTGAAGGTAAGACTAAGGGTTTACTTTTAAAAAACAAAACACCCAATACAATCAGTTCACTTCATAAATGGACCAACTCTGGCATATGTGGCGGGGGTGCTTCTCCCTGGGTCACAGCTAAACATCAAAGGTGCACAAGAGCCTACAAATGCTGCTTCTCAGTCAGAAGTCATTTGATAACTGTTTGCTTGATGATTTTTAAAAATAATTTTTCTGAAAATAGCAAGAAGTGTAGGGAAACTCACAGCCTTAAGGACACAAAATTATTCACCTCAGCATTACTTGTAATACTGAAAAAGACAGGTGGTGGTGGTGCATGCCTTTAATCCCAGCACTCAAACAGATGGATCTATGTGAGTTCAAGGCCAGCCTGACTTGCAAAGGGAGTTCTAGGATAAACTCCAAAGCTACAGAGAAACCCTGTCTCGAAAAAACAAAACAAACAAACAAAAAAACCCCAAAACCAAAACAAAACAAAGCATTTGGGCGTTAGACAAAATTATAATGTATCCAAGTGATGGGATGCTGTGTGATATGTGATATTATCATAAGAGATGATGGTTGTGAATAACTTGATGATATAGTATGCACAAAAAAGAATAGGTAGCTATATGAGCAACATGACTTGATCTTTGCAAAAATAATATATACACAAATGACTGGTTGAGAACATAACAACATGCTAATCATCGGTATCAATATTAGCAAGATTATAACTGCACTTTCATGGAGATTTTCAGACACATTCAGGATATACACTATCTAACATGGTAGCTGCCAGGCATGTAGCCACTAGGCACTTGAAATGTTGCTAGTGTAAACTGAGATGTGCTGTTAGTAGAAAATACATGCTAGATCTCCAAGACTGAGGAGATAAGGAGGAGTGTAAAATACATCATTAATAATATTTGTACTGATTGAATATGGAAATGATATTACTCTGCTTATAATGGCTTAAGTAAAAATATTATTTTCATCTCTTCGTTCGCTTGTAAAAATGAGATTACTAGAAAATAAAAGTTATGTATGTGACTTAACATCCTTTAGTCCACTGCAGTTTTACCAAAGAGGTGGGTCCAGTGTGGGGAGCGGAGGCCCCAGCTCTCCACCTCCCTGAATGTACTCTGTCTGCATCCAGAGAACTAGCACAGGACAGAATTGTTCTGTTCTCAAGTTCTTTGGAATGACAAGGCAATAACATGCTCCTGTGTGAACAAGGGTGGGAGAGAGACCTAATGTAAAGCCCCCATTGCCTTAGGTATTCTGGGCAGATGGAGGCTGCCTGCTCACCCCTGCTGCTTCTGCCTTTCTCTGGTGACAGGCAGGATGGATGGGTGATGGAGCATGCAGATGCGGGCAGCTGTGCCTTGGTCCTACATTCTGCAATTGCCTTAAAGTGCAAGTAAAGTTCCATGGCAAAGAGTTTTGTCTTGCTCCTTGCTCGCCTTCTTTTATGAACATCATTGTAAGAACGAGACAGAGGCACTAGTTTATAGATTGTATAGTAGTCATTGAAGAACCAGAATTTCTGAGCTTTAAGAATCCACAGAGGTTTTACAATTTCATTTTCATGTTTTCATCTACTTTTCTTTTCTATAGGGAAACTGAGGCCTGAGCAGTTAACAGGCTAGTGGTTCAAGTTTATGCTATCAGTGTCTGTGATACGTATTTGTAATCCACAATTAAGTCACCTCTCTGGGCCCAACTTCCCTTGACTAGTCACTGGAGATTATGTTCTGGATAGACCTTCCCTTCATTGCCCCTAGATATATCTATGAGGCCAACTAGGAATTATGAAGATTTACCATAATTTTTTTAAAAATATTTTATTATTCTCTAAATTGGCCAATCTTAAGAGATATCAAACTGAGAACTCACTCATTACAAGGCTGGCACCAGTCCTTCAGAGTCAACTGTGATGTACAGCCATTTTCCTCTGCAGCCTGCTTGACTGAGGGATATAGGAATGATCTCCCTACCCATGTTTTCGTTCAGATTCAGTTATAAATCTGATGGGAAATCTATTGTTGGACCATTTGATTCTTTCTAGAGAGAAGCCAAGCCATCTGTCAAACCAATGGGAAGCTCTTCTGGGAGTAGCATAATCAAGCTGTAGCTAGGCCAGGGTTCCGTATGTTCTTCTGGCTTGACTAAGAGGCAAGC